GATCCTCGGTCCATGAGATTCCCATCCTATAAGTGCATTTTGTGCTTTTCTAGACAGCATCAGTGCCACTCCTTGTGTATGTGGGGCATTTTCTTCTTCATGACCGGAGTATAACAGAAGTTCCCCTGAAGACAGTCGTTGTTGTCCAACCTGCGTCCAATGTGTTTCACTGATTCCATGCACTTCCAGGTTGTATTTCCTCATTTCCGCAGAAATTTGGAAGACTCTGCCGGTCTCCCACATTGTCCGGACATTCCATGTACCTATAAAAATTGTCGCTCTGGTTGTAAGAAGGTGCATCGGCCTCATGACTTCCGAATGAACTCGGCTTTCATCATGAGACGTCATTTTTCCTTCTACTCCCAGGGCAGAGTTTGAAAGGTTTGAATGATTTTTTCTGGTTAGCGTTTTTTAGAGAGTTGATTTTCTACGGGATGGGGTCGCTAACCCCATGCCCAACCCTCCTCCTTTACCCGGGCTTGGGACCGGCAGTAGCCCCTGGACGAGCTACAGGCGGAGTTAGTTCAGTCACACTAAGTCTGATAACGTCTATCCTTCAAGTAACGATAGTAGTGCAATCAAAACGATGCATGATATAAAAAGAATCTTCAATGACATTATGTTATCGGGACGATTTACAGGTCGATACAATTTTGAGACTTATTTAAAAGAAGTGCATAAGGTAATAGGCCTTCTGTGGTTTATAATTATTTTTACACTATGTTAACATAACAATGATGACCTAACTTTTAAGTATTTTTTCGCAAGATATGTTTGTACTTATGGACGTAAACACAATTTGTCAGAATCAGATGCTTGTCTCCAGGATGTAAATGATGATAATGATCAACATTCTTCCGAAGAACATACACGTTCTGGCTCACCACCTCAACCTAGACAAAGAAGAAGACGTTGGTCATTTACATATGCTTTATTCCAAATGGTCACATTTTGTATGCAAATTCCAAAGATCGAATTTGAGGAGGTGAGTGTGTGTTGCATTGTCTTTATAAGCGTTGTAGGTTTATTTCGAGATAGCAGCCGTTGGAGAAGGAACTGCAACAGTTGGTAACAAGAACCTGTTTGTTACGATGAATAAGTATTGCCGCAATTCGGAGTGATGAGTTATAAATGAAAATGTTAGTTGAAGTTTAAAAAGCGAACAGAATTATCCATTATTTAATAACTTCTTCCAATTCTTGACAACTGCTCATGAGTTTTGGTTAAGTACATCAGGCTGATGTTGAACTTTCATAGACAGTGCTCTACAAAGAGGAAAAAAGTTACTCTTCTGTGTTACAAATACAGTATCAAAACAGCCGAATTGCTTATAGTGGACGAACGAATGCACCAAGTCATAAAAATCACCTAATCTATTAATCCATAATTCGTACCAGTTGTATAACAATAATGCTCGCTGAATTAAAAACTTACATTTAGGTCTGTGAATACTTGCGAAGCCAGCCAAAAGCAAGATAGGAAGGAAACAATTATTACAGTATAAATGTTCACCAGAAACTAATATTAAAACAGAAACCAGTATTCAATTACAGACCGAATGTGCATTTAGCTTTTCTTTTGGATCGCCATCATCACGTGCAATCCCGGGCAACCTGATAACCTGAGATCAAGGTGTTGAAAATGCTACAAGTATTTGGAGTTTGACAACACCTTGATTAGTAACATCTTTCATAATCGAAACGTGCCCACCCAGGGAAATCAGAGGTCAGAAGCGAAGAGGTTCGATGATATATTTGACAGGTCATCAATATATTGAGCCATTACGAATAACGTGGTCAGAATCAAATGTCAAAGACTTACAGAGCTATTGATTTTGAAGATTTATTTACCGCTTCAATATCTTATTCAAGAAATTGTACATTTCAATAGGTTCCTGTAATTGCTACATAACAGTACTTATTTCTACTATTAGATACCTTTGCAAGAATATCGGTAACCTCAAAACTGACGCTATCTACAAGAAGTAGTAAAACTATATTTGCCTAGTCTCTGGTAAAAGCTTCACATAATTGTGCCTTTTGTTCATTATTCTGATTTGTTTCCCGCAATATGATGATTTGTTGTTTTATGTATCTAGCTGTAGAAGATAACATTAACAGCTCGGTATGTGTAATAATCACCTAAAGCATACACATAACAAATACAACCTTCAGGATAGCTAATATCTTCTTTATTGACCTATATCTGGCCTCAGACAAAACTAAAATTAAGATGAGGAAACATCAAATCTTATTTTGGTATCGTTAATTGTTGTTTAGTTTGGGTAACCTTGAGGATAAAACAGTTTTCATCACGCTATATGCTTGAACTACGTTATTTCATATATAGAAATAAATTATTAATCTACTCTTAGTGTACAGCTAGGTGTAAATAATTGCTAGCGTGCGACTCAAACATGGAATAACTATTACAGTAGGACCTAAATGATGATTTTTCAAGGATTTTGCGATAAAATCTGTCATCAATTATTCAATGTGCACTTGTACAATGTATCGTTAAGCCGACGCATATAGACTTGGAACATAATCCGTCATTGATAGACCTTGTCCTCACACACCACTGTGAAGATATCGTCGACATTCAACACCTTCCCCCACTGGTGAATAGTGACCATGTCGTACTTTCCTTTAAGTTCCGGATACATGGTATAGAATTTGCATCAGCTCCACCCCGTCCTAATATTTGGAGAGCTAATATTCAGGAAGTCAGGGACTATACTATCTCAATTGACTGGTCGGTCGATGCTGATGGATCGATTGATGATGCATGGAATAGGTTCAAGTCTACGTTCGAATCCGTAACTCAACCGTTTATCCCATGGTCAGCACGTAAGCTATCATATTGTCCCCCATGGATTAATAAGGAAACCCGGAAGCTGTTGAAGCGTAGGAAACACTTCTGGGACTTATTCTTGTCAACAGGTCAGGTATCATTTAAGTGCGAATATAAAAAAATCCGGAATATATGTAAAAAGACAATAGCAAAATCCCGCACGGCTTACGAACGACAGTTGGCATACGATAGCCGTACCTGTCCGAAGCGACTGTTTTTGCATGTTAAAAGGCGGACGAAACGTAGTGATGGTATCCCCCCGTTACTGTTAAACGAAAATTCAAATTTATTGGCTGAATCTGATCTAGCGAAAGCGGAGACATTTGCTAACTATTTCAGTGAAGTCTACTCTACGTGTAGTGTTACAACTACTTGTCCCGTTGACAATGAGATACCAGCCATAGGACCTTTGCACGTGACAGAGGATATTGTTCTTCCTTTGATAACTAACCTAAAACCTTGTAAGATACCGGGCCCCGATGGGTTACACCCACGTTTGCTGTCGTCGCTTGCGGACATTATCTCAAGACCGCTCACGATGCTCTTCAACATGTCCCTTTCACAGGCCCAACTACCTAGAGACTGGAAAGACGCCATAGTTAGTCCTATATTTAAGGATGGTCAGAGACGGATCGTATCTAACTACCGGCCTGTTAGCCTGACCAGTATAGTAGTTAAGTTACTTGAAAAATTAATTCGGGCTAAGCTACTGAGCCACATAGATTCGTACAATCTGTTAACTCCCGAGCAACATGGGTTTCGTAACAAGCATTCATGCTTGACTAACTTACTCATTGCGAGAGAGGATTGGACGGCTGCCCTAGACAACGGCCAGTCTGTCGACGTGATATTCATAGATTTTAGCAAAGCGTTTGATAAGGTTTCACACTTAGATCTTATGCAAAGCTCTCGAGCTTTGGTATTACAGGTGTTATACAGGAATGGATAGGAAGCTTCTTATGTGACCGCAGACAGAGAGTGAGGTTCAATGGAACTCTATCCGAATGGAAACCGGTCGAAAGTGGTGTACCCCAAGGCACCATCTTAGGCCCTTTACTTTTCCTTCTGTATATTAATGAACTACCTTTATTACTTAAGTCGTCGACGTTATTGTTTGCGGATGATGTTAAAATCTGGAGAACAATAAGAAATGAGACTGATCGTTGTTATCTGCAAGCAGATTTAGACGAATTAGTTAGGTGGGCTCATGATTGGGGCCTGGAAGTTAATTCCAGGAAGGGCGTGTTCATGCACATCGGGCACAATATTAGTTACCACTATACCATTATTGGTACATCTCTGCCACGCGTTCATGAGCATAAAGACTTGGGAGTATTTATAAGTCACGACTTAAAAACTACTACGCACTGCAATGCGGTTGCTTCCAAAGGCTATCGCGTGCTATGGTCGCTTCGCAGAGCATTTAAATGCTTTGACGAGGATATGTTTCGAACTTTATATCCCACCTATGTAAGGCCACACTTAGAATACTGTATCCAAGCAGCTAGCCCTTGTCTGATAAATGATACCAAATCGCTTGAGCGTGTCCAGCGTGTAGGGACAAAATTAGTAAAGGGTCTTTCCAAACTCCCTTACGATTAGCGTTTAAAACGTATAAATCTTTTCCCCTATTCTTATCATAGGACGCGAGGTGACCTTATACTGGCATTTCATATCTTTAATTATGATCTGGGTGTTAATATGTCATACTTTTTTGCTCCCTCCAGCACTAATAATCTCCGGGGTCATAGCAAGAAGGTTCTAAAACCGCGATCTAATAAACTAAAGGTGGGGTCCCGTTTTTCTCATCAAGTGGTCAATGACTGGAACGCTTTACCAGAACAAGTGGTATCAGCACCATCAGTGAACATTTTCAAAAAGAAGCTGGACCTTCACTGGAAGGAAATCTGTCAGGATTAACACAGGTTCATCAACCTACTATCCTTATTACTGAAGACTGAAAAATGAAGAAATCTTTTTTCACTCAGTTTTGGAATCAGAAAATAAATTTTCAGATTTATTTATATTTATTTTCGGTTTTTGGCTGTGCACAAGGCGGAAAAAAAGTAGGGCAAAAATTGTCGCGATATCACAGTGTTGTTGCCTAGATATTGAAAATTTGTTTAAAATTTTCACTTCTTATTTCCATTGTCCTAATGAGCTGTATTCAAACTAGGCGAGTGTTTGGTCGAGTGTAGAAATTAATTGCGTAATGCTTTTTATTGTTGCGCTTCGTTATCTACGATGGAAAATATAAATAAACAAATAACTATCCTACTTTGTAAATTTGTTCATTTTCTCCAAGCTACGACCCAGTACGTTGTCAAAAGATGGACCCCGGAGTTCATTAAAAATGCTCTGAAGTTTACTGCTGAGATTGAAAATGTAAAGAGTTCCTAAAAGTTATTGTTTCACAGATAGTAGGCAGACTGGCGGATGATGAAAATTTGGCAGTTCAGCACTTCATACAACATATGAGTACTATATTTCCTCATTTCACATCGTCGGTTACTAGCTTCCAACTTGTAAATGCAGTCGATTGGGCTATTGAGGTTAGTTATGTAAGCATACGTTTAATAAACTACATAGAACCATTAGGATATTCAAGAACTATAGGTCTTTGCGGCCAGCTCACGAACTATGATGACCTTATTGCAAAATGTTCTTTTCTCCTATATGTATCGCAGTTTTTGTATAGGCAGACATACTTATTTTCTATTTCTAAATTAAGTGCTCATATTCTCGTCTGTGAGTTTAACACATTGCACTTTTTCATTTATCACATGATCGAGAGCAATAATCCTTTGAGTTAGAAGTCCACTATATATAGAGATAGACCAAATATATGCGTTTAAGTCTTGATATAGGGTGGATTTTCAGAAGCTGTAAATTCACTAGTACGGGGTTGTTTTGCAAAGCTGAAAATACTTCCTAGCAATCTGTAATGGACAGTTATAGTCAAGTCATATTACTTCTTTTTCAAACATCTCCGAGTCCTTTGTTATGTTTTCACTTGTTTTAGATGCATCGGCACTTAAAGTGTCATTATCTTGAGGAATACTATACAACTGTTTGCCAAAACCTAATTTAAACCTTCCATTAAAAATAATAATACTTGAAAAATGACTTAAGATGTTACTTAAATTTGTTGTTTTTTAGGAAGAATCATATACTTTTAACTTTCAGTAATCTAAAACCATTAACTAGATGTTCAACTTATGAAATCAAGAGAATTAGGTCGAAATTAGGCTAATTTTTTTAACGCTGTGAAATCTGTAGAAGTGCATCATTTTAGTTCAAAAGATACAAGGGACATAAAAGAAACAAAACTAACTGGTTTGAGATAATTGCTCAATGTTACCTCAGGGATTGGATCCGAGTGACCAGACAACAACATTACAACATATATTACTTTGACCAAGCATCGATTGTGATATATCATGCCTATCCACAGCTTTGTTTTCCTTTCCAGAGTCTTTGTAGCAATCCGTACCTTTCACAAACAAATCGGGATTGTATCTTTGAGTATTGCTTAGATACCAATCGCAAAGTATGTCAGTCAAACCATGATGAAATATTATTTAACTAGTTACCTCAATTTAACAAGTACTATCCGGAGCTACACTTTATACCTAATGACGTGTTGCAGATTATTGAATCCCGTTTATTTGGTTCACATATATCTTCTATCAAGACATTAACTGAGGCGGAAAAATATTTAGATTCATGTTTCGCATTGGATGATGGTTACACCATACACTTGCTTATTCGTGTACTAGAACAGTCAGAACAATGTGACAAATCAGATGCTTTACGTACTGTCATTATTCACTGGTTACTTGTTGCTATCCAAAAAGATCATGAGGCGTGAGTTCTGTCTTGTAGTTCAGTTATCGTTTATCCATGCACTACAGTTGTGATTCATAGGAATATTTCAATAATGAGTTTCTGGTTATCAAACTTTACTTCATTGTACGTGATCTGAACACATAGTTAACAACATTTATTCGTACATTGTGAATGTTACTCACAACTAAACGATTGAATATTGTTACAGGGCTGGATTCGTTTTCAAGTGGTTTGTGGACAGCCGAAATAGTTACGCGTTCTAAACCATCTTATTTTTTTACAGATGCTTTGATAAAAAGTTTTAGTTGTCATGTTACATCGGTAGATCCTATTTAACAAACAAATGTTATTAAAGTTTGCCAACACCCCAAACCATCTGCTTATGCAAACTTGACTTATGTTTGCGAGTAAAAGTTCTTATCAGCCCAGAAATACTGTTTTTTTACTTAGTAACTTGTTACCTTTTCACTGACTCAGACTTCAGATACATATGGTGATCTAAAAAAAACTTCCAAGTAACTTTAATTAAGGGCTTCTGCTATAGAAATGATGTTAATTTTAAGTGTATTGTATTCATTTTTTGCCTCGTAAAGTATATGTTCATTATGTATTAGTCTCTATTAGATATCATCTGATCATTCTGATGGGAGACCTATATGCTAAGGTTGGAATGGACAACACCGGATATGAAGACAATATGGGCTAGGAGAAAGGAACGTAAATGGTGAGAGATTTGCAAACCTATACGTCTTCAATAAACTGGTCATAGGCGGCACTATATTCCCACACAAACGCATAAACAAAGCCACATAGACTTCATCGTATCACACTACACAGAACCAAATCGACCATATCTGCATCAATATAAGGTTCAGAAGGACGATGGAGAACATGAGAACAAAGAAAGAAGCTGATATAGCCTCAGACCATCACTTTCTAGTCACTAAGATGAAGCCGAAACTTAAAAAGCACTGAACAACAGAGCGGACAACACGAAAGTTCAATACGGCTTTTCTTCGAGATGCTGACAAACTCAACAAATTCCAGATAGCCTTCATCAATAAGTTCCAGGCCTTTCATGATCTACTCAATGGAGAGGAAACTACTATAGAGAGCAAATGGAAAAGGAGGCAATCACTTCAACATGTCATGAGGTTGTGGGCTACAAAAAGCACCATCACGAGGAATGGATCACTGTTGATACACTGGATAAAATTGTAGAAAGGAGAAACAAAAAAGCAGCAGTTAATACCAGTCGAACAAGTGCAGAAAAAGCCTAGGCACAAGCTAAATACACATGTAAACAAGCAAGTGAAGAAGAGCATCAGAACCGACAAACGTTAATATGTGGAAGATTTAGCAATGATAGCGAGAAAGGTTGCTAGAGAAGGAAACATGAGACAACTGAATGACAACATAGAAACTCACTGGAAATTACCGTAAGCCAGAACGGCCAGTGAAAAGCAAGGAAGGTGAGGTAACTGCCAACATTAAAGAACAACTAAAACAGGTGGGTAAAACACTTCAAAGAACTCTTGAATCGACCAGCTCCACTAAACCCACTCAACATCAAAGTAGCACCCACGGACCTCCCGATCAATGTTGACCCGCCAACAATTGAAGAAACCAGCATGGCCATCAGATAAATCAAGAGCGGCGAAGCAGCAGAACCAGACAACATTCCAGCAGAGGCACTGAAAGCAGATGTAGCAGTAACTGCAAAGATATTCCATATTCTTTTCAATAATATTTGGGATGAAGAACAAGTACGAACAGACTGAAAAGGACACCTGATCAAAATATCAGAAAAAGGCGATCTCAAGCAAGTGTGATAACTACGATTTCCATGCCTAAAAATTTATGTTAATCGTTAAACTCGCGGTTAGCCTGTGTAAACCTATGTGCTTTAGCGAGTTGTAGGGAGCCTGCAAAGACTCAGTGCTTATGTTTAGAATGTTTTACAAAGCGGCCAGAGACTCGATCATCATTTTTATGGCGTCATGCAAATGCAGTTAGTACTCATCTATACTTATTGGTGAGTCGACGTCTAGCTTTGAACCTAACTCGTTTTGATATTTGGTTCCAACAGAAGCTTCAGCCTATTTGCTTACATCAGTCCATTTAGGAGGATGAATTTGTTGACCGCTCAAACGTAAGATAAGATAAGCACAAACAAGGTCGTGATTAGAGTCCAAATAAGTATTCAAAAAGGAGCGGTAGACTTGTACACAACCACGTCAAGGGTAGTTGATTGGGATGTCCATCTAAGTGCAGCACTGAGATCTGAATGAAAGGCCTCAAGTAGCACTTTATCCATGACTGTACCAATAGTCAGTGCAGGCCAGGAACAGGTCTTCTGCGCAACACTGCGGCAAATGATCGCTGTTATCTGACTTGCAACCAGCAAGTCCCCATCGGTCACCCGAACGACTTTATTTAGTGCCTATATTCCAAACTTGTGTATTCAAATTGACAGCCAGCACTTCAATATATATCTAACGCACTTTCTAAAGAATATTATTTAAACGGTTTTAGAACTCATCTGATTGCATTCGAGTTGCAGTGTGTCAGAGCGTAACTGGAGACAACCAAATAAAAGTCTTTTCTCACTTTAATGAAGCTTTCTGATGTAACAACACATAAGTATCTGTTAGCGAGAAACCGATCTATTAGTGCTGCCTCTCGTCTGGCGCTTAATGTGACACTAACGCCAGCAAAAACGGCGAAGATACCACAGTGTTCGCGTGTAAGCTCACGTGAAACAAGTTTTTAAAGTCGTCAGATGGATATGTAGTCTCTCACTTGAGTCTTGAAAATGGGTCTTCGATGGTTCAAGCATATCGATGTTAAAACATCCTAGAGACAGTCAAGCCTGTGTGCCGTCCGGTCTGCTTTAATGTGCGAACATTAAAAGAGGCCGGTTTAAATGGCATATGTGGCTTCAGAAAGGCTGGTTTGAGTTTCGTTCTCGGTCTACCATTCAAATTTTGACATTCAGTGATTTCAGATCGTGTAGATAGAGTAGAGTTTCCACCATAAGCGACCTGCTGTGTGAGCTAAAGAAAACATGGATACACAAAATGGGAATAAACAAGTGACGGAATATAACGTAAAAATAAATGTAACATAACTGTGAATATAGTTTGTGGAAATGCTAATTACGGAGGGAATATTTTCTTCGTTTGTTCCTATTATTTAACTTGAATGTGGGTTGCGATACTGCTCAGATGCTCAAACCGAAGCATGTGGTTTTCTTAGGAGGTCATTTCAAGGACTTTTGATTTATGAGTCCAATCCATAAAGCAGTGTAGTAGCATCAGGAGATACGATCCCATGGTAGCCGGCCACCAAGAATAGGTTCAGATTCCATTTGACCCCTCAGAATACTGTAGTCCGTTTACACCAATGATTTGAAATCAAAGTTTCCGACATTTTCTGGTGAATCATCTGTATCAACCAATCCAGCTAAAGCTTTAAACTTTCGCTTTTGGTCAAGAAGGACTTAATAGAAAAATACTTTTATATTAAGTTCCTTTCTCGACGTGGTTTAATTTTGAGTAAAATCCACCTATTGATGAGAGCATCATCCTTGAAAATTGAGTTTTTTTGACAAATGTCTATTTTCTACGTGCACCATTAATCAAAGTTACCCACGATCATAAATTATAGTATTCTCTTCGGAATTTTTTTCTTGGTGAATAAACAGACAACCTCCCTTGTTATTACGGTTAACTTGACAGTCGCCCGAAAACGTCACATTCATGAATGTTTATGCATAGAGAAACTGAAACTTTGATCTCAACGCAATGTAATTTAGAAAGAATTGTCTATTTTATTCTGTCAGAAATGCTAAGACACTGGATAAAACAAGGGAATTTATGTTTCGTTTATTGCTTGTAGCCAATTGAAAATTATAAGAGCTTTTCAGAAGTCTTTCAGCCAGTAATTTTACAGAATAGTCCTATACCAGATTTTATCACTCGTTAGTAAAGCTTCGGTTCTTTTCCAAAAATGCACTTGGTCACAAAAGGAACTAAAATTATGTAATCTCACACCTATGTTAAAATTCGTTAACTTGAAATTATTGTTTTAGGACTGATGGAGTGTAAATTATTCGTTAAGTATTCTTTAGATTAATGTACTAACTTCATGCCACCACTTTTGTCCTAATCAGTTCTTATTTCTAAAAGTCAGAATATTTGCAAATAACACGAATCTCATACTAGCTTGTGGATCATGGTTTCCTTGTATTTGTTACTAATATTTCCCTATTAAATAACTAGGGTTTAAGATACGACTTTATTACGCCTGATTGTTGTCACAAAATATGATTATTAGTTAGTCCTTGAATAATTTGGGAAACCATTATAGAACTTGATGGATTGAAAAAAGTTGTGATTTTGTTTGCCAACAATATATATTTAAGTATGTTCATTCATTAACTAAACATCCTAAATAGTTATATGATGGCTTTATAGTAGCGCATATACACTGGTTGTCTAGTTACTTTTATATTTTAGACACATTATTATTATATATTTCTCATCTTCCAATTTTATTTATTCCTTCTAAAATATTCCATCTGTTTTTGCCATTAAATCGATTACTTTAGACTCCACAGTGTTGGTTCCCTCTCTGTTTACTGATGTAAAGCATACAAGCATTGGCGTCAGCCCCCTATGTTTCTTATAACTCAATTTAGCAGTGAAATCAGATTGGTATTACTAAAGTATATCAGTTAATAAGGCTCCAACAGAAAGGCTATGTAGGCAAGTGCTTTGTCAAAACACTATCAGCATCATTCTCCAATAAACTCAATGAAAGCTACTAATGCTTTTTTTAGACTGCTTGTTGGTGACTCAGTCTTCACATTAGTCTTTCAAAGCAACTAGGGTTTAGGTCTTTATCGTTCTATACAAGTCAGTGTATTATTTTTACATCCTTTTAGGCATGGCCGAAATAGTACATGATTGTCTAATGTGTTTATATTAACGCAAACCTTTAATCATTTTGGAATTACAAATGAATTGCCTCAGTGGTTCTTCGTGATTGTAATGTTATATCATGTGTAGAATCTACTTAAACGTCTTTCAAGGTGTTTTGTGTGTTACAGTAGCAAATGACCAAAAAGAGTGTAACATAGACGGCGGTTAATGTAAGCTTTCGCGATTATCATGGCTCTAAAAGTATTTCATGCGCTAGGGATCATGGCATAATACTATCATTTTTATTATTAGTTTCTTACTAATTTTGTTACTTATGTTTCAAAAACACTGCGTGCTTAAATGTAATGGCCTATATTATTTGTGAATCCTCCATGTGTTATCACACTGTTGAATAATAGTTCCATCTATTTCATGGGAGTTTTAAGGTTTTACAGAAAAGAATTACTGATCATTGAATAAGCTAGTTAATAAATTATTTTTTATTGCACCGTAATATTTTCTCAGTCTCGAAAATGTATATTTCAAATATTTTACTGGATTGTTTGTAGCAGGTTTATACCAAACTTTCAATATTCGAACAGTAAATTCAAACTTTATTCCAATATGGAAAGTTGTGTTTTTTTTTCTCAATTACGTCAGTACTTCTTAGTTAATCGTCTACATATTTATGTTCATTTTACGCATTTTTAGGTATATTTCTCTGGCTTCATACAATCCTGATCGTTTACGTGATTTAGCCATACAGATCCCTGATTTTGGAAAAGTTATATTAAAGCTGTTTGATGAAACTGAACATATACAAGTGAGTGAAACACAGTTCACTGATTTGTCTAAAATAATATTTTTCAGCTTGTTGAATGTCTAAATGTATATTTTAACGTAGCTTTAAATCACTGTAATACATAACCTCGATTTTCCCAACATTTAAAGGTGGAATTTTCCGAACACATCGTGAAGGCATTCAACAAACTCCCACATGTTTAGGTCGTATAAATATCATGAAGTCACGAACATATAATGTAATGTAATGAGGTAGCTCATCGGATTATAAGGTTAAGTATATACTGCTAATATATTAACTTAAAATTACACCATATCGTCTCATTCTGAATATCTAGGGTTGTTTTTGTTGGACTTAAGCCACATTGCTTCTAAATTAGATATTCCTTGGAGGCCTAGTCCTTGATTTCGATGTCTAGGTAATATGAGAGTGTATTTTTTCAAATTACACTGGATAATGCATCACTTCTGTTTCAAGCAATATAAGCTAATCAATTTCAACAATATATATATATATATATATATATATATATATACCAGTCCTATATAGTTAACATTCATAGCACGACACTTACCTATGCCTGTTACCCTTCGTAGAGGAGCATAGGCCACCCACCAACATTCTCCATCAAACTCTATCCTGGGCAATCCTCTCCAGTTGCTATTCATTTTTTTCATGTCTGCTTCCAATAGTCGGCGCAGTGTGTTCTTTGACCTTCCCCTTTCTACTTTTCCATTCAGGATTCTAAGTTAGGGCTTACCTCTTGATGCAGTTTAATGATTTCGGTAATGTATGTCCTATCCACTTCCAACGTCTTTTCTTAATTTCCCCCTTCAGTTGGAAGTTGGTTTATTCTCTCGTACAATAGGCTGTTACTGATGGTATCCGATCAACGGACATTGAGTATCTTGCGTAGACAATTGTTTATAAATACCTGTACTTCCTAGATGATGGTTATCGTAGTTCTAGAAGTCTCAGCTCTGCAAAAGTAGGACTGTCTTGACGTTCGTATTGAAGACTGTGACTTTGATATTGGTTGAGAGTTGTTTTGAGTTCCATACGTTCTGCCGTTGTTTTGCTAATCCTTGCCTTTACGTCTGCATCAGATCTTCTCTGTTCATCGATGATGCTGCCCAGGTACGTGAAAGTTTCCACCTCTTCCAGAGCTTCTTCATCAAGTGTGATTGAGTTGATGCTCTCCGTGTTGTATTTGAGGATATTGCTTTTTCGCCTGTTTATGTTGAGGCCTACTGATGCAGAGGCTTCTGCTCCACTGGTTGTTTGGACCTTCATTTGTCGGTGTGTATGAGATAAAACGGTCAGGCCACCTGAGAAGTTCAGCTGAATTCAAGCTATCCATTATATTCTGTGCTTTCTGTGAGATGTGGAGGTCTTCATAATCCGGCCAACCATCAAAGGAAAGAGAGAGAGGATGAGGGCACGAAATCTTGTCTGACACCGGTGGTCACTTGGAATGCATCTGTCATCTGTTCTCCATGCCCGACTTTGCAGCGTAATCTGTCGTATGAATCTTGTATGATGTTGGCGATTTTCTCAGGTACTCACTCCATAGTGTCTAAGAGGGTTCCATAAGGTTCTTCTATCCACACTGTCTGACGGTTTGTTTTATTCAAGGAAGTTGATGTATGGTGACGAATCCCATTCAAGTGATTGCTCAGCGATGATCTGTAGTGTTACAATTTGTACAATTTGTACACAACCTATCCTTACGGAATCCGATCCGTTGATCTCGGAATTAAGCATTTCTCTCTTCTTCGATATCTTGATGAGATATTCTTCTTTCCAGTTTATCGCCACTTGTTGCTAAATCTTCCTGAATAGAACGTGAAGCATGTTTGTAGTTACTTCTATGTCTGACTTTATTGCTTCATTTGGTATATTTTCAGATGCTGCTGCCTTCCGAATCTTGATTTGTCTGGTGACAATGCCGATTTTTTCGATCATTGTTGAAATGACGTCTATGGTAAGATTTATGTGTGCCGTTTAATCGTGGCAACCGCTAGGTTGTGACCTGGAGCTGTATCGATTGCTTTTCGGGTTCTCACGTCTTTCATTGATCTTCTGGATTTGTGGGGTAATATAATCCTACCTACTACCCTTTTGTTGAAGGCATGTAAATTTGCAAATCTCTCACTATTCTTATTCTCTTCTGCCAATTCATGTCATCTTATGACACCTTGATACTCTGTGTTGTCCATTCCGACATTGGCGTTTAGATCTCCTATCATGTTGGTTGGCTAGTTCCCTAGACACTTCTCTACGATCGACTGCAGCCTATGATAAAGCTGATTTTTATCTTTTTCATTGCTATCATAGATGAGTGGAATGCACTGAATAACAATCACTGTGATCCTCTCCCTCTTTGTTTTGAAGATGCTTTGATGATTCTGCATCCACGAGATTCCCATCCTATAAGTGCTTTACACGCTTCCTTGAACAGCATTAGTGCTACTCCTTGTGTGTGCGAAACAGTTTCTTCTCCATGACTGGAGTATAATAGTATTTCTGTGGAAGCTAATTTTTTCTGTTCAGCTTGGGTCCAATCGGTTTCACTTATTCCGAGAAGCACCAAGTTGTATCTGTTCATTTCGTCAGCTATTTTATTAGCCCTTCCGGTCTCTCACATTTTTGGACATTCATGTGCCTATATTAATTGTTGCTCTGGTTGTTAGAAGGGGCATTAGCCTCGTGACTTCCAAAGAATCTCAGCTTTCACCATGAGGTGTCATCATTCTTCTACATGAAGATCTTTCAACTCTTACGTGAGAATTTAAACAGTTTAAATAGCTTTTTCTGGTTATATATGGTTTAAATCCATAGTATGTATGTATGTACTTTTGTCATAGGGGAAACAATATACCGTATTCCTCCCCTAAACATTTCGAGATCATTATTTCTAAGAAATGTTAGAAACAATGTCAGTCGTTTAGCTATGTATAAAATTGGTCTTATCTTATAATTGCTGATTGTTTTATATTTCATTTGTGTTTTTTGTACTCAATTAACGGGATGAAATTTGCCTCATTTTTCTCACGTTTTGAATCTGAAATATAGTTTAAGGAGACTGGTTCAGAGCAAATTAATCAGTGCTCACCAATAATGGACTTATTAATCAATCTGTTTAAACGAATTTATTTCGTTGATCATTTAAATCCCCTCCTGTTGTCACAGATTAACCGATTATCAAAAATGAATAATTCTGCAGCAAAGTTTTGGAATTCTGTTGCATGTACTGTAAATGTCTTAAAGTGATGTGAAACAAAGATACTTATTGACGTTATTGTTGTTGTGTAACCCTTTTTCCATGTCTTAATTTTATTGTAATTGTCGCTTCCTTTTTGTGTTACTAGTATTGTAAACTGGCCTTAATTATATTATCCATCGAAGAATTCCTCAAGCTATCTAGCCCATGCCTTTGAGGCAGCCAGTATTTTGTATAGTTTTCACAGTATCCAAATTATTTTTAATTAACTGAAGTACTGTCAGATGATTATTTAATGCAAATCGTCACTTATACTTATTACTATGCCTCAGTAATTGAATTTATAAATCAAAGGGATACTTTGCAAGTGGAGTAATGACATAGCGGTCAAAGTGATCAACTTTCAGCCATAATATCGCGGACTCAATCTTTTCCTCACCTTCTTTAGTTAGGGAGACCGGATATTATCACTAACTCTAACAAAATATTTGGTTACATAAACTTCTACTCCTTTAATGAGTTACATCCTCGTAACAGGGTACTTACACTATACATTACCAGTCAACATTAACTATAAGGGAAGTAAAACAGTTCCGAAATTGTTCTAACTTTAACTGATTTTACTATGCATTGATCCATAAAGTCAAGCATAATTTATATAGATCAAGCAAATCTGCACCTTGCTATTAAAATCTCTTCGTAAACAGATGGACTTCATCAAAATAGATCTTCTTGTTATTATCCTAGGGAAGATTAAACTACGAGTGACTTCTGGGAATTATTAATGGACTAATCATATATATATATATATATATATATATATATATATATATATATATTCATTCTTACTGTATAACTACTCAGTAACTAGATTATGTATATCTATATTCCCCTTATTATAAGCTTCATTTTGACTTATAGATTATTATTATACAACTTACTGTTCTTAAGTTATGTTTAGTTAATTGTCTACAGTCTCCCACGTTCACAGCCACTTTTTGGCTTGATCTTGTTTAAATGTTATTTCCTATTTTATGGTGGGATGCGGTATGTTTAGCTGGTATATAAACCAAGCATGTTTGAAATAAATGATCTGCATAGTGGAAGCTGTTATTGGTGTTCTAGATATAAGTGGACGGGCTAGGCGAACAAAGGACCAATAAGGACACAAGGATACTCATACCGATCGAACGTCATTGGTTTCGCACAGTACTAAGATTGAATAAGTGGTATTTCGATTGGCGAATAAATAACGCGATAACGAACCGGGTTTAAAGTTTCAACACTTACATATGTGTGTTAGCCTAAGTTGCCATATCACACTATCTCAACGAAATAAATGTATCAATATAAATTTTAGAAGAGGCCAAATTGGTGTACTACCGATTTCTTTATTTGAACACAAATATTGGTAAAAGGGGGCACCAAATATGTGTGCACCACACAAAAAATTGTCATTTCATTTAATTGTGTGAGGACCATGATACTGCCCGGGTGTCCGGACCGAAGCCGGTGGTTTTCTTAGGAAGCCACACCCCGAAGCTTTGATCTAAAGGTCTGGTGAACAAGGCAGTGGAGCAACGTTAGGAGATGCGGTTCCATGGTAGCCGGTGACCAACAATTGTTGCATACGCTTTTTTCCTTCAGGATACTGGAGTCCATGTCCACCATCGGTTTGGAATCAGTGGTTTCAAACCCCGCCTAGGTGGACCCTCCGTGTCCACCAACCCGGCCGAAGCGCTTTTAATCCAATAGTAATAAGAAGTACGATATTGGAGTTATGAATCGAAAATGCTGAGTGAAGTTTGTACAAAAGAATGCTGCAATTCAAGATATAGAGGAAACGAAGAGTGAGCACGTCTGCACCAGTATGAATGATTTTAGATTGTCATGTGTAGTCTCTAAGTATTGGTCTCGGTTATCGAGCGAACCGCAACGAGTAATTTGCATCTAATAGCATGATTCAGACTAACGGTCACCGACTTCATGGACTGATTCCACGCTTTGGTTCAGCCTATCTACCAACTCACTACATCAGCAAGCGTTGCCTGTCGAGTTAGGTGTTTGATAGGATCATGTAACACCTGTCCTAACTATCACAGTTGGTAACGATGTACAATTTCATCAGCCAACTTTCTATCGTCCCCTAATACATTATGCCCAACCTTGGGATTGTTCACTCGGTCGTTCCACGAAACGCGAGGATCATTTCAAAGACATTATATGAATCTTAGTTTATCCATATTTTTTTTTATCTACATAGACCATATTTTACAGCCATAAATGACAGAGCGAATTGGTGTACAGTATACACATCGTTCTGTTGACAAAAAACTGCGTTACTTGCATATCTCGTCAGATAAATGGCAACATCTACTATTTCAATATCGGTTATCACGTTTCTGTGATCATATAGCGGTAATAGTACCTGAATGTGCCAACGTCACTATACGGTCAAATCGTGTCATTGAGACTCGTAATGTGAATAGTAAAAGATTACTAAAATAAGTTAACAAAAGGGCTTAAGCCAATTAACTGTGAACAAACTCAATTGTACGTGAGCTGCTATAATAGCTCCCCTCAGCAAAGAAAGAGACAAAACAGTGTCTGTTTGTGAAAAAAAGTTAAATTTAACAGGACGGTTAATATGAAATTAAGATGCATGATAGAACTGTCGTGTAAGTTATTACAAATACATGTAAGCTTGAGTTTGTGTACATCCGTTAGGCCAGATAAGACAACAGAAAATCAAAAGAATACGTTAATACTTTCAGAGGTTTATACACATTGACATCGGAATAAACAAAAAATGTCGAATATAATAATAGATAAATTAAAATTTTTGATATGCACATACAAAACGAAGAGGAAAGAAATGGTCAATTCATTCGTAACATACGGCTCCAGAGATTCTTAACCGATAGAAGAAATCCTAGGGCAGGACCTCTTATTAATCTGAGTCACGAATATTCTTCATTGGATACCTGACAAAATGATATCAAGGATAAACTGCGTCAGTGTATATTTACTAACTTACTTGCTATAATGGTGTGTTCATTTCAAACACATCCTAATACCATTTGGTACAGCCATCTAAAGGTGAATCCAAATCAGTTAATAGTCATATTGTTAAACATCTGATCAGTTCTTGTCACTTATAAACAGTTGAATCCAAAATTTAAAGCTTAAATTTTCGTCATAAGACACGAAGATCCTTGATTACATCTGTGAATTCTTAGATGCCTACTGTTGAAAATTCTTATGCCGAAAAGAGAACTGTCAAGTGGTTCAAGGTTTTTAATAGTTGTCTCACTGAATTCAGAACTCCGCCTGTAGCTCTTCTAGAGTTACTTCCGGTCCCAAGCCCACAGAAAGGAGGAGGGTTGGGCATGGGGTTAGCGACCCCATCCAGTAGAAAAACTAACTCGCTAAAGAAACGCTAACCAGAAGAAATAGTTCAAACAATTTAAACTCTGCCCTGGGATTTGAAGGAATAATTATGACGCCTCATAATGAAAGCCGAGATTTTCCGGAAGTCACGAGGCCGATGCCCCTTCTGACAACTAAAGCAACGCTCTTTATAGGTATTTGGAACGTCCGAACAATGTGGGAAATCGCGAAGGCCAGTCAAATAGCAAAGGAAATGAGGAGATACAAGTTGGCAGTACTTGGAATCAGCGAAACACATTGGACACAAGCTGGAAAACAAAGGCTAGATATGAGAGAGATGCTGCTGTACTCTGGTCACGAAGAGGAAAATGCTCCACACACTCAGGGAGTTGCTCTAATGTTGTCCACAGAAGCACGAAATGTACTTGTAGGATGGAAATCTCATGTATCCAGGATAATCAAAGCATCATTCAAAACAAAGAAGGAGGGGATCACAATGAATGTTATGCACCCGCCAATGATAGCAACGACGACGATAAAGATCAGTTCTATGAGAGGCTGCAATCAATCATAGCGAAGTGCTCAAGAAAGGATCTCACAATCCTGATGGGAGATCTAAACTCCAAAGTCGGAATGGACAACACAAGATATGATGATATATTTGGACGACATGGATTAGGAGAGAGAAATGAAAATGGGGAGAGCTTTGCAAATCTGTGTGCATTCAAAAAATTGGCTATCGACGGCACAATATTTCCACACAAAGCTATGTGGATCTCACCAGACCACACCACAGAGGACATGATAGATCATATTTGTATCAACAAAGAATCCTGAAGGTCAATGTAAGATGTGAGAACCAGGAGTGGAGCTGACATAGCTTCAGATCACCACCTGGTTTTGGCCAAGATGAGACTGAAGCTAAAGAAACACTGGACAAACAGCACTACAAAGGTTCAATACAGCCTTCCTTCGAGATACTGACAAGCTCAATGAATTCATGACTACTCTCAACAACAGGTTCCAAGCTCTACTGAAAGAACAAGAAACTATGATGGAGGACAGCTGGAAAGGGATCAAAAAAGCACTAACTTCAACATGTCAGGAGGTTCTGGGTTGCGAGAAGCATCATCATAAGGAATGGACCTCTGTGGGAACCCTGGACAAAATTCAAGAAAGGAAGAACAAGAAGACAGCAATTAGTAACAGTCGAACACAAACAGAGATATCCAAGGCACAAGCAGACTACGCAGAAGCAAACGAGGAAGTGAAGAAAAACATTAAAGCCCAAAAGCAGAAATACATGGGAGAACTAGCAACGACGGCGGAAAAAGCTGCAAGAGAAGGAAATATGAAACAACTATATGATACAACCAAGAAACTGGCAGGGAGATATAGCAAACCGGAGAGAAAAAGAAGGAAAGACAATCACGGAGATTCAAGAACAAAGGAAAAGGTTGGCAGAATACTTCGAGGAACTGCTTAATAGAACAGCTCTATTGACTTCGACATCTGAGGGGAAGCACGGAATACAATGGACATTTCAAAATCAATTAGAGGATTTGGACTTCGCAGAAGGCCTAGCCCTCCTATCTCATACACACGAACAAATATAGACGAAGACAGCAAATGTAGCAGCAGCCACTGCATCAATAGGCCCCAAAATACACAAAGGAAAAAGCGAGATTCTCAAATACAACACGAGGAACGCCAACTCAATCACACTTGATGGCGAAACTCTGAAGGAGGTGAAAACATTCACGTACCCGGGAAGCATCGTTGATAAACAAGAAGGATCGGATGCGGATGTAAAGGCGAGGTTTGGCAAAGCAAGGGCAGCATTTCTACAATTGAAGAACGTATGGAACTCTAAACAACTGTCAACTAACTTCAAAGTGAGAATCTTCAATACTAACGTCAAGACAGTCC